GGGCAAGATCAAGAGTCTAGAAACTCTAATTGAGTTCAACAACTTATCGGACAATGACATCACTATGCTATGCTAACTCGGAGGAATAGTTGTCGGAATAGTATGCTTTTGTGCTCAAATCAAAGCAATCGAAGCGATCAAGCCGGGGGCAAAGAGCGACCCTAAAAGAGGGCAATGACTCGGTCAAAATTTGGCAAGCGGTCAAAGCAATCGGGTATGATTTTACAAGGATGGATAAAACCATGTGGTGGGTTATCACTTTCCGACAAAGACCAATTGGTTTAAACAAAAAACACAAAGAGAGTGAAAAGACTCAAGTTCACTGTGAATAGTGGTTCAAGCCGTGAGGGTAAGGAAATCTTGACGGGACTACGAGATACAATCCAGACATGATTTCGAAATGAGGTAAAGGGGGATTGAGTACCGATAGAGCGGGACGGCCTATGTTTCTCTCGGGTAAAATTGTTGTCAATTTCAACTAAAAAAAAAAAACCAAGCGTTCAATCAAACTCGAAATTCAAACAAGAGGGTCACATTTCCCCACACATTCTTTCAAGCGGGATCGCCTAATAATAAATCATCCACTCGGGTAGGGTCACCTCACAATAGACCATTCTTTCGAGCAAGATCACCTAATGATAGATCATTCGCTCGGGTAGGGTCACCTCACTATAGACCATTCTTTCGAGCGGGATCGCCTAATGATAGATCATTCGCTCGAGTAGGGTCACCTCACTATAGACCATTCTTTCGAGCGGGATCGCCTAATGATAGATCATTCGCTCGGGTAGGGTCACCTCACAATAGACCATTCTTTCGGACAGGATCGCCTAATAATAGATCATCTACTCGGATAGGGTCACCTCTCAATAGACCATTTTTTTAGGTAGGATCACCTAATAATATATCATCCGCCTGGGTAGGGTCATCTCACAATTGACCATTCTTTAAGGCGGGATCGCCTAATAATAGATCATTCGCTTAGGTAGGGTCACCTCACAATAGACCATTCTTTTAGGTAGGGTCGCCTCACAACGAACCATTGCATATTTAATTTCTAGAGTAGGCTACCCTTTACAATAAGGCCATGCATGACACGTCTAATTTTTCAAGGTAGGCTACCCTTTACAATAAGGCCACGCATTGCACGTTTAATTTCGGGGTAGGTCGCCCTTTACAATAAGGCCATGTATTTGCACGTTTAAATCTCTATGGTAGGCTACCCTTTACAACAAGGTCATGTATTTGCACGTTTAAATTTCTAGGGTAGGTCGCCCTTTACAACAAGGCTATGTATCGCACCTTTTATTTTTCATGTACTTTGTACTTAATTTTTAATGACTCGCACATTTATTTTTTCGAAAAAAGAAGAAGAAGAATTTCTTTACAAGCTCACTAAACAAATCTATTCGAAGTTCACACTTCAGCTAAGACTTGCATCGTAAGCATTGTAAAGAGAGGGCAACTATTATAACCTAATTTTGGGTTTTCTTTTTTAAAAACAAAAAAAAACAAAAAAAAACAATAAAAAAAACAATAAAAAAGGAAAAATAAAAGGAAAAAAGGAAAAAAAATATTAAACCTCCCTAAAATCATTCAAAAATCGTTAAAATCTATCACAATTTTTTTTAATTTGGAATCTTCTTATTTTTAGCTAAAAAAATCTCAAAATTAAGATTTGCCAATTAAAATTTGATTTTTGAATTGATTTCGGGAGAAATTTTAGGATGTTTTTGGCCTATAAAAAGCTTTGGAATTCCAATTTGCAAAAAATAAAAAATAAAAAATAAAAAAAAAGGAAGAAAAAACGCAGCAAAAAAAAACACAAGAAAAAAGAAAAAAATACCGAAAACCTAAAAAGAAGAAGCCAAACACGCCCTAACCCAATAACCATACCCGATTACCCGTTTACCCGGTCGAAATTTTTGAGCCTCAATTGATCGTTTTTCGATCGATTTTAACCCCGATCAACATACCCAAGTGTAGCCCATCACTAGATCGGTCTATCAACACCGGTTAGAGAGAGAAAAATCACGAAGGAGAGAGAAATCGGAGATCAAACCACCAAAACCCGACCCGAAAAAATACTCGTTTTTTCTCTCAAATCCGGTCACCAACACAAAAACCACCATCACGAATTGATCGCCGGTCTCCCCGAGTGTTTTCATATGAATATCTCGATCCAACGACATCGAAAAACGGTTTAATTGAGCTCGACCCGTTTTCGACCCGTTTTGGAAACCCGGAAAAATTGGCCGATATAGACGTCGTTGGATGTTCTAACTACCGCGGACATCTTCCTCTCAACCTTGCGAGTCTACCGGTGGGTTTGGAATCCCGATAGGAGGTCGGATTCATCGTCGGTGAAGAAGGGAGATCCGACCGAACCTTTGGAGGCTCCGATCTCCCTCCTCCGACGTCGTCTCCGGTTGGAACCACCGCCATCGGAGTCGCAATGGTCGGATCTATAAGGCTGGGTGGTCCACACGCCGGAACGGTCACCGAAAGATGAACGGTCGCTTGGCGATGACTCTTAGTATTCCATGGGGCATTTTGGTAATTTTACGGTGTATGTGAATTTTGGACTTTTTTTTTTCATTTTTTATGTGTTTTGTAATAATTTTTTTGTCTTATGCATGTTCGAAAATCCAGAGCTATTTAGTTGTGGAATTTATTCTAATATGTGATTTTTTTTTGTGATTAAAATATTGGATCAACGAGTCCCCTATTTATTAGGGACGGACGGTGATTTTAATACATTTAATTTATAGTTAATTTCAATTAGCTAAAATCTTAGTTTTTTTATTATTATTAAGAAAATAAAAAAAAACTAGAAAATATATATCAAAATTTTCGACGAAGCCTCCTATTTGATAGGGGCGACGTCACCAAAAATCACCTTTTAATTAAGACGTCCTTCGACACGCCGATTGTGTTAAGGCTTAAAGTGGATCCGATGTTTGAATCGATGTGTCGTCCGACGAAGGGGACCGACGATCGTTTCAATACGATGCCACGCTCAAAACTAAAAAATTCAATTTGTTTAAAAAATGAGAGATTAAGAGTCGAGAAAATAATTTGACATTTTCGAGAGATAAATTTAGAGCTAAAACCGGACGTGGTACCTTTCTTCGGAAAGAGCGCTTTTGGGTGATCGACATCTTCTCAAAAACGTAACCAACTCCTTACCATAGAATCTCCGAACCGAGTGTCCGTTTTAGGTTCCTAGTTCCTTCAATACTAAGTGGCAACTCCAAACTCCGTAAATAAACTTGTAAATATTCAATCTAATTTTAGATATTTTCGAGGAGTCCGTCCGACGTCGGGTAGCGACAACCATCATCTTTTCATTTGTTAATATTATAGTTAAATAAAAATTTAGATTCAAATTTAATTGTTTCGGTCAAAATCTTAACCATTCGATCCTTCTCAATTATAATGTCCCCACCCCCTCATAATCACGGTCTAGGTGATGCCACAATTGTCTATACTCACGACCATGCTTTAATATGGGATTTCCATTATTTTATTTTTTATTTTTTGTTGTTGTTTGAGATTCTAATAAAAAAAAATTGGATAAAAAGTAGAGATATGACATGATAGTAAAAGAATGTATGAGAAGCAATGACAATAGTGATTGATACTTTTTATTAAAAAATATATTTTTACCTTATTTTTTTCTTGGAAAAATATCTTCCTTCAATGATTTTTCAATATCAATTTATTCATTCTTACCTTTCGAATAACGTAGAGATATTCTATAAAAATTTTTAAAAAAATTAAAATTTACACATATGAAAAAGAAATGAAAGTTACTAGGTCTAATTGAAGTAAGTAAAAGGTTTCAAGGGAAATTGATAGAACATATAAACCCCAAAGAGAAAAATGAAATTTATCCTAAAAGATAGTGGTAACAATACAAACACTAGAACTATAAATTTTACATATTTTGATGAAACAACAAGGATCTCATACCAAGTCAGCGTAGCTTTGATAAAAAAGAAAAAATAAATAACATAACTTGGTATCATCTTTTTATATTCTCGTTTCAGAAAAAAAAAAAGTTATGCAAAACAAAAAGTTTAATATAATAAAATTAATAAAACTAATAAAATATATTTTTTTATTCAAATCATAATTAAAATTTATATATTAATCCATCAAATCATATTAAAATTCATAAAATCCAACTAATAACTAATGATATGGCATTAAATAATTGAAATAATACTAATTCTTATTTATTTTTTTTCAAAATTTTGTGAGACGAGTTTTATAAATTTAATATGATTGAAGGATAAATATTTGATTAAAAATTTTAATACTTTAGAAATTCATTTGAAACATTAAAAATACCATATCTTTATTTATATTAATTTAATAAATGAAAAGAAAGAATTGAAATTTTGATTAAAAAAATTAAGAAAATAATGATTCAAACGAAATCTTATTTAGAAACCCCTCAAATCTTAGAAGAAAAAAATTAAAATTTACCCTTCTTTTTTACTTGTCTTCCATCATAAATAGCGCCATCAGGAAAATTCTATAAATGCCATGAAAAGTTTCATTCAGAATTATTTTATTTTATTTTCAAGGCAAAGCTTTAATAGCAAGATTCAAAATGTGGGGTGGGAATAGACAAAAGTGCGGGCTTTTTTCCATGGGCTAATCTTACCAGTAAATAAGATATTCAAAACATTCAAAACCCAAATTCTAAAAGCACTAGCCCAAAACAGGTGACCAAATATTAATTATCTTAGAAAAATCATACAAAAAATGGCCCATGCAGGTTTCGAACCTGCGACCTTCGCGTTATTAGCACAACGCTCTAACCAACTGAGCTAATAGGCCATTGCGAAAAATGTTGGTTATACAGCATATTTAAAGGATTTAGTAATGATATAACCGATAAGGTTACTAGATATTTTTTTCCTGGAGGGATCGGAATTCACCATTTTATGTAGAAAAGGACTGTGCGTGCAACTGAAGAAGAGGAGGAAATGGAAAACTTAACAGCAAGTGAAATAGCAGGTTTTGGGGTTGGAGCTTTGCTTTTATGTGCAACCATTTCTGCCCCAAAGATTGATTCTTTCATTTCTGCTTCACAAAGAAGGTAATAAATAATAATAATAACAATCCTAACTTTCTCACTTCTTTTTGCTACTTGTCTGGGTTATTATCAGTGTCTGACATAACACCAAGTTAAGTTATCATTTCTGTGAATTCTTACCCTTGATTGCTACAAGCTTTGTTAATTTTTTTGTAAAATGTTGTTGCTTTCCTCTATTTTTTTTTAGTTTTAATAGGATTTTAGTTGGTCCCTTTCTGTCTTCTTTATGTTTTGCCAATTAAGTCTAAATAAAAAGAAACTGGGGTCACTGCAAATTGATGAGTATACAATGGAAGATTTAAAAAATTATCGAAGTTGTAAATTGTGCTTGTCTTTGTTATTTTTTTATGCTTGATATCCCCAGATAGAGTAGCATGCATAGGTATAAGTTAGTTTTCTTTATATACAGCACGGGATGTCAGATTGAGGATTAAAACATTTAGCAAGGAAAGAAAAAAAGTTCTGGAAGGTATATACTGTCAACTTGCTGAAAATTTGGAAAGATTGAATTTTTAACCTGGAAACTTGAATCTAGAATCTTGTTAGAAAGATGAGCCCTTGACAGTTAGGAAGATTCAAGATGTTCACACTAGTTCCTACAACCTTGAAGTTACTTGAATTGGAACTGTGTTCTAGGTAAGTTCCGTTATCCATTGCATTTATAGGATCACCTCAATTATCCGAGATTTCATAATTCTTACTCTTGTTAGAGGAGATGTTCCATTCCCCATGTTGTTACAGTTAAAAGCTTCTTGTGGTTGAATTATACAAAACAGGAAGTTCCTTTCTTTTCTAGCGGATATCAAGTATACATATGTGACAGCAATTTGAACTGGAAATTAATTGGTGATGCAATGTAAATAATCTTTGGCAACTCTGAATAGCAAAAATACTTGATCCCTCTACATTCAGATGTCTCAGAATATAATTTTAATTGTGATCTATTCTGTGCATATGACTATTATTATGATTTCTAATATCACCACCTACTATTTGTTCTGTTTTTTGGTTTTCTTAAGATAGTTGGAAACCATTCTCGCATTATGGACTTGGCTATTCAATTATGATCATGTCCATGTCCTCGTATTCTTTATTTCTTATTGTAACCACCTTAATTTTGCTTTGTTCTGTGCCTTCTGGCATTCCGGGGATGTTGGGCATTGTTCTGGCTGTTTGAGAATCAGAAATTACAACCTAGTCAAAGTGCAATACAAAGCCAATAAATCTACCAAAATCTTTATAATACCAGCCATGCACAAAATAAGATGATGGTGCTATCTTGTTTGAAAACAAGAGAACTGCTTCTGATCAATCAACCTAAAGCGCCCCTCAATTTGGTGGTGATCTGAATCGCCTATGACAAAGGTAGAAATGAAGGGGCAAAAATTCCTCTTTGCAGTTATATCCGCTTGCACGCTGTGTTCTGTTGCATAAGTAATATGCACACACTGTGCAATGTGCATATGAATGCAGAAAACAGGGCAATCCTCATGCCTCAACTATAGTGGAAAACAGGGTTGAGGTTCCTGGAAATTTTCAGTACTCCATTGTTAACTGAATGTTGGTGCGTGGCTTAGTTTACTTAATTGGGCATTATCTTACTTTTGCATCCTGGCAGGTGCATGGCATCCCTCTGTGCAATAATTATCAACTAGATTTACAACTATAGTGGAAAAAGCATAACATTCATTGTAGTGCCAACAAAATTTTAGAGTTACATAGCACTCAATGTAATTCTGCTTTCTTACTTGCTGTATGGTGCAACTACTCCTTGAATAAGCAGTTCCCTGGGGATGTGCAAGAGATGTGGTGATCTAAGGATGATAGCATGCTCAGGATGTAAAGGAACTGGATTAGTCAAAGAAAGTGGACCATTAAGTTTTAACTTTATAGATGATATGTACGAGTCAATTGGTGGCGACTCAAAGGCGAAGACCATTAGATGCTCTAAATGTCAAGCTAGAGGTCGGTTTTGCTGCCCTGATTGTTCCAAAGTACAATCATTTTAATTACATATAGGCCTTAAAGGATCAAACTTTTGTGCTTTTTTTCAAAACTTGACTGTACCCAAACATTTGCAAGTTGTTATAGTTATTTTGTTGCTTGGACTAGAATCAATTAGTCAAGACCACAGAGAAATGCATAAACCTCCTTGTTTAATGGATATATATATATATATATATATATATATATATATATATATATATATATATATATATATCATGAGAGATTCGAGCTCGAGACCTCATGGAAGAAGATGCATACTAAATCCAGTTGAGCTGCAGTTCATTAGCAAATGGATCTTGTTAATTAATATCCTGAGGTCTTTTATTATATTATTCGTTAATCACCGGAAGATTCTAATTGATTGTTGATTACATTGTGAAAAATATATATACTAGTTTGGAACCCATATATGTTCTGGGAAGGAGAGATCATGCTCCATTAATATGCTATAACCCTTGAGCTAATTACTCTTCCTACTTTCATGAAATGTCAACTTGGTTTCCATTTTCTTTTATATCCCCACCTGTCTGTGGTAGTCTTGAATCATACATGATGTTTCAATTTGCCCCTACATGGCTTCTTTTGGATCTATTGGTGAAATCCTTATATGGAGGTAACATATAATTGCCAAGAAAGATGCTGCATTGCCTGCTGTGAGTTTTGAATATAGACTTATGGGTGTGAGCTTTTCAAGTTTTCAACTTTCTACTTGGTTTTCTTTATGCAAAGCAATTGTGGCGTACTACATGTTCCTAAAAATTTACATGACTAGAAATCATAAATTTTGCAAGAAAGGTCAGGCGTCAATTACTTGCCCTTAATAGAGGAATCCTTGCGTACAAACCTTTGGCATCTAAATAAAGACCAGCAGTCATCAAAGCAAAATATTGGCTTTAAATATCTGGTTGGCAGGTAGGTCTGTGTTTTGATGGCATCTAGCTAAGTTAGGAAAGCATCATTGCTTGAAATCCAATCTTTACCTAAAGCACACAGCACATATTCATGCTTTGACTACTTGAACACACATGAGCTTTCAAATTTGTGTCAAGACATGTAATGATGAAAACTAAAATAATAATAATAAAAAAAAAAAAAATGTTCCTTCTAATGCATGTCTACCTACTCTCTTATCCATCTGTAAACCTTACAAAATTCTTGTTCAGGTTTTTCCATAATCTCATTGTGGGGTTCTTGTCATAATTTTATTTGGTCATTCTTGGTTTCAAACAAGGGAGACTTCTCAGTCTATTTATATTTCGCCAATTCCATCCCCACCTTTATGCCTTAATTTCACTTGGGAAATAGGGACTGAAAATGTGCAATGAATGGATCAATCTACAATGCGTAACATATGGAGCAATCAAGTGAAGCAAATGACACCTCTTTTTGTTTTCTTTTTTCTTTTTTCTTTTACTTTTTTTATACATCAAAATTAAATCTAAATTTTACATATATCATTTATACCTAAATTAATACTTTCACAAAAGATAAAAAAGAAATATTTCTTGAAATCCTTATTACAAAACAAATCATGAATAATAACTTGAGAAGCAAATTCAATTACTAACCAGTTTACGGCTGGAAGGGTTGAGGCATTTCATCATCGTCATCATGCGATGCTGCTATGGTTCGTTGGATTTGGTAAACATCTGCTTGCCACTAATTGTGGACCAAATCGTACGTTCATTTTTGTCTTTATTGCTGTCTTGTCCAAATTTGATCGTACTGTGGTGACCCACAACTGCATCTTTTTTTTTTTTTTGCGATGAATATGCCCAAAAAAAATAGTGTACTCTATTAATGCACTTACCCAGATTTAACAACCGTAGGATAAATGGAACCCACCGCTTGAACGAGTTAGGCCATTCTCATCCCAGGGCTGAAAATTTTCAGAGTCACTCATGGTTATCCTTTTTATAAAGTTTTTATATTCATCCTTGCGTATCTTTCCATCTTTGTCACCATGAATAGTTTGATGATAAGAAGAGCGTGCCAACATTTTTGTACGACTAAGACCTAAAAAGATGCCCTCTAATTCCTAAATTAGCCAGCTATATTGGAGTGGCATTACTTCAGACAGTTGGCAATATTGTTGGTACCTAAACCGTATAATTGCATGCGGTGCGGATCGCAATATCCCACCATTAAAGTGCCGGAATATAACGTTTCCTTTTCGAGTTATTTTTATTCCATAAATTTTGTAAGTAAATAATTATGCTATTCATATATATATATATATATATATATATATATATAGTCCGTGACATTGTAGATGGATAAAAGTACTTCCTAAATTTGTTTATTACAAGTTGTTTTCCTTTAAAAAAAAAAAAAAGAATTTCATTGAAATGAAAATAAGGAAGGTTCTACATCTAAATCTGACATCAAACATAATACAAGAGTACTATCTTAGCAGAGAAAATAAAACGGATTTACATGCTACTATAAGAACATTCGAAAAACACACAATAAAAATTTTATTTAAAAACTAAACATTTAGAACTTGCACTAAAATATAAAAACCATCTTGCAAGTGGACAACAATTGACATATAAAAATTTAATTAACTTATCCTTATATAATAATAATAATAATAAAGTCCCAAATAGATCATAATGAAAATAAAATAAAAAATTAAACCAATAGAACTTTGGGTTTTACTCAAGTCTCCAATTAGTGTTTGTTTAACTTATATTTGTTAAATCTAACAGATCCATTGAGGAAATATCTAAAAGTACCTTGATCTATATTAATGACAAAAAGATGCAAAAAAATGAATAAATATTTAAAAAATATGAAAATTAATTATTAAATAAATAAAATTATTCTTTGATTACCTAGTTTTTTTTTTTTTTTTTTCCTCTTCCTCCTCCTTTTATGAATGGAGTCTCTTTCGGGCAATGGGATTGACGTCCAGGTTTTGCTGATTTCCAGAGTCTTGTATCGGCCATCATCTCTTTAACGGCTTAACAGTTTTCTTTTATAACCCCCTAGCTTCTCTTTTATTGCATTTAACATTTTTTAATAAAATCTTAATCCTATTCATCCAAAAAATAAAATAAAATATAACACAAAACTATTCTATAAATAATCAATTAGAAAAAAATCTAAATTTTAAAATAAAAAATAAAAAAATAATTAATAGAGAAATTTTTTTTTTCCAATTTTAGGTTTTTTTTTCCCATCAATTATAATGGATCAAGGGCATTTTAGATGTTTTATTAATAGTTCTATTATATTTAATAAATGTTACTAATGGAAGAACCCGTAGAAGATTCTAGTAAATACCTGGTTCTATTAGCTTATTTTAAAATAGTTTTATGTTATTTTATTTTCTAATTATTTGAAGAACCAGGTATTTCTCTTTTCTTGAACATAACTCACCGCTAATGACTATAATGTGCTTTAAATGGTATAATTTAGTCTCATTAAATTTGTCTTCTATGGTCAAAGTCACTACAACAAATTTCAAGATATGCAATTAAAATATTTGTCCCCAAGCATTCAAAATTCATCGGCTAATATATTTTGGGACGCATAGCTAAATCGTGTCAAAATCCACATAATTAATTGCATTTATAGACGTAAAGTAAAAATCATCCCTCAAGGATCATTATTGCAGATGAATTTTATTTTCGTCCATGAATGTCATTCATTTATAGATAATTATTTTTGTTATAGAATATCTCCATGTTTGTTCAGAATGAGTCACTTTCGTCTACAATTATGAAAGATTTGAATTGAGAAAAAGCATTTTTATAGACAATAAATGTTGTCACAAAATGTATTTAAAAAAAGGGGACAAAATATTTCATCCACAATGACTTATTTTTTTTAGACGATAAATTTCATCCATAATTGCTTGTAATATTTTTAGATGATAAATTCCATCCATGATTGCTTTTAGTTTGAGATGATAAATTTCATCGTTGGTTACGAAGCTGCATAGAGGATCCACTGCACATAGCTTCGACGGGGATTGGATCTATTTCAATTTTCAAAAGTCTTGCGAAACCTTGTCAACTATGATTATCCAATGAAGGGTTCCTCCCCAGGCAAACAAATATATTAGAAACTTTTTCAACTTAATTGATTTTTACCATCTTGCCCACTCAAATTCACATTGGAAATTACAATTCACTGGTTAAAAAGTAAAAACAAAACCCAAAAAAAGTGCTTGTCCATGGAACTAGTTATTTGCATTCAAATCTATCTCATCTAGACGATTCCAACATGGCTAAGCTTTTGAATCTTGCTCATCACCATTGGGTTCTTCATATGTTCCTGAGCTAACTTCAAATTCTCTTAGAAGTCAACCAACACCTGTATATTAAAACACAATGCATTATTATCAAGCACAAGGGCAACCACTTAGGATTTGCAAGGAAAGGGTGATACGAGAGTTTAAATCATTACTAGCCTCATGACAGGATCTGAGAGAATGTTTTAAATTTTTGGGTCCTGCATTACCTTGGCCTGCAAAATGAAAGACACAAACTCAAAACCATGATCTAGATAAAACTTAATTTCTAATCATAAACAGTAGTTAAACAAGTAATTTTACCTATCTCTCCTTCAATTCCTTAGGGCTTAGGTCATGATGGAAACTGATCATTTATAAATCTTCTCCCTATCACATAAAAAATTATCTAACTGATCATTTATAAATTTGCAAGATGGAAACTAAATGTATGACCTTCGGATATCCACAACCAAGAAAAGAAAAAGTCCATAACAAATTAGAATAAGCACTTTAACAATCGGAACATATGAACTAATCAACTATTATAAACAAAGGACAATAAACTAAGCAAGCATATATACAACCTCAAGGCCTTTGAGGAAGCAAAATGATAAATGATCTTTGCATTTAAGTGGCAAAAAAAAAAAAGGTTTATAAAACCATATCCTACAACTAGGTAGTCCTCCCTTACCTAAGCCAACAATTTTAGCCTCTCTCACCATATGGTAACTTGCAGCCCACAATCCCCTCCACTAACGACTTCAACCTATAGCCACCATAAATCTCACACCCTATTACCGCAATTCTAGCGATCTCCATCACCCTATAACCCCCAACCATTCTACAACTCTTACGGCACCTCCCCCTACTCCCACACCAAAGTTGACCTTCATGTTGCAATTTGCAACCAACCTCCATCACCCTACAAGCACCTCACCCTATTGCTATCAAACCAACATCACCTTATACAATATCCTGCAATAAAATCCCACACCATCAAACGATAGGGAACCAACACAATCACGGATATAAGAGGCTTTTAGAAATTGAGATATTATCCTTCAAAGTTAACAAATTGAAGAGAAGATTAGATAGCTATCAACACCTTCATAGATTGTGGATTTGATTGACAATGTGTTATACCAAAATTTAATTTAGGTTTACTAATTCAACAAATTAAAAGAAAAGATTCCATAGATTGTTCTTTAAAAGTGTCTTATTAACTTCTTTCTTGATTGGTTTTACTAAAACTCATTCTCTAGCTAGTCACTACTAAGCCCAAATCGTTTAAGATCCAATACCCAATTAATCCACTTGCTTAAAAAGCTTCATCTAAAAGAATTATACTAAGAGAGCTTGCAACGGTAAAAACAAACCATTTTTTTTATAAGAGATGTATAGGATATAAACTCTTAGCATGATTAAAACAAGGACGAGATACGTGAGAAGCCACTCCTAATCAATAGAAAAACCAATCAACAAGCAATTAATAGAAGAAAGCTAAAATTTAGCACTAATAAATACACATTCTGAAAAATTATAAGGAACGTGAGATATTGCCTACAAAAATAGCGAGAACAATTGCAAAGAATGTGGAAAATTGTAATTGAAGAATAGAAAAATAAAGAAAACCATGGAGCAATACAAGATATATGATAAAATGAAAAAGATTGTGGTTCCCTACAAAAGACCATGAAGAAAGAAAAAACTATAAATCCAAGTTGTAGCAAAAGGAAAACATATGAAAAAAATATACAAAGTACTCAATTTGTAAATTGTAAATAGTTCCCATAACACTAATTCAAGTTTCAACAAATTTGAAACTTGTTAAGCTATAGCTAATAGGTAGTAATTTATAGGCGGTAATTCGTAGATAATAATCAAGTAGACCAATAATTTATCGAGTTGATAGTTGGTTCATGATTTCCATTTTGTGTTTATAACGATTATGATTGTCTCACTTTTTACCTCAACTTGAGAAGTTGCAAAAGATCATAAAATCCTTTTTCTAGTAACTTTAAATTATAATTTTCCTATTCTAGCTCTTCAAACTACCTCATGTAAGGAAGAAGTGTCATATATAACATTTATATCTAAGGTACTTATGAAGTCTAAAGGTCTGAAGAATTTTTGGGATAGCAAAATGATCATAATACATTCATGTTTCAATGCTACTTTCATGTCTCCTAGATCACGGTTATCCTCTCATTCATTTAACTACGGAACCTCTAATATTCTTTCCTCCAAAATCTATTGTTTCTAGTTTTTTTTTTTTTTTACCCTTGCAACCTCTTTATTTTTTATATCGAAATCATTTCTTCTAAATTTGATAATAAGAACATTGTTCGTTTGGTCAATGATAAAATCCTATATTTTCTCTCTTGCTTTACATATTGGTTTCCTATCACAACTCTTTAGTGCTAGTATGCGAGCAGCCTTTCTATGTTATAATTTTCTTTTTGTAGTTCGATTGAACCCTTACTTTTCTATTGAGTTGATTTTTTTTCTTCTCGATTTGTACTCTAAACTTTACAATGGTCCACTCTTTCATTTTAGGAAACTAGAAATTGAGCTAAGCTTCTTATTAACATGCACTTTAGGATTCCGGTGTTAGGTTGTGCTTTGGAGGGCATTGCAACTCTTAAGAAAGCTATTTTCCTTTTTGAGAATTTTTTATTTTTTTTACTATTTTCTTTGTCAAATCCATTTCCCATGAAATTCATTCATTTGATATGATTAGTTTCAGTCTTGACACAAGGGTCAACTTATTATCTTTGAATTTTTGAATAATATCCTTGCTTTTAGAGCCTTCTAGATCAAGTTTCTCTTATATTTGGTCAACCACCGAGCTTTGCTCTTTTGGCTTGATATAGGTTCATGAGGCCAAAAGCTTGTAAGTCTTCTTGTTTAGAGTTAAGTGCCCTTTGATCATGTTTTTTTCTTACAAACCTTCTAAGTTTGAGCAACCATTTATTCCATGATTGTCTTTCATATTCCATATGCATAAATGATTAATGTCCTGTGACCTATCTACAAGTGCAAACTTTGAGAATTTCCTCTATACTTGATGGTCAAAGCGGTAGTGTCAAAAGTCAACATTTGTACATAAATATTGTATTTTTCATTACGAACATTACTAACATCACATAAACAAACCATATTAATCAAAGGATACATTTCAATTGAATTAACATTATGAAATAAGATCATTGTCAATTCTCATTTCATGATTGTCTTATAAATCTTGTAAAGTTTGAGCAAGTATTTATTGCATGATTTTCTTTCATATGCCATACGTATAAATGATTAGTGTTCTATAACCTATCTACAAGTGCAAACTTTAATAATTTACTCCATACTAGGTGGTCAAAGCATTTGTTTACAGCAAAGAGTCAAAAGTAATCGCTTTTACATCAATATTGCCTTTTTCATTACTAACATCACATAAAAAAAAAAAAACATATTGATCAAAGGATATATTTCAATTGAATTAACATTATGAAAAAGGATCAAGGTCAATTCTCATTTCATGTTTGTCTTACAAACCTTATGAAGTTTGAGCAAGCATTTGTTGCATGATTGTCTTTCATATGCCATATCCATAAATGATTAGTATTCTATGACCTATTTACAAGTGCAAACTTCAATAATTTCCTCTATATTAGGTGGAAAAAGCATTCGTTTATAGCAATAGTGTCAAAATTCACCACTTGTACATCAATATTGCATTTTTCATTACTAACATCACATAAACAAACCATATTGATCAAAGGATACATTTCAATTGAACTAACATTATGGTAAAGGACCATTGTCAATTCTCATTTCATGTTTGCTTTTTGAAAACTTCAAGTTTTTAGCTTCTATTAAATCTAGGATTAATCGCAAACAACATCCCCTTACTTTTCAGATTTTTTTAATATAACCTCTTTACTCTCTTTTTTATCTATTACATCCCTATATTCTTAATATTTTTATAATGTGACCCCTCTAATAGTTTTTCAATAAATTTTCTAATCAAAAGTGATAAGTGGTAAAAAAAATAACACATGTCATTACATGTCGGATTAATTTTTCAAAAGAAAAAAATAAAAAAATGCATTTTTTTTAAATGAAATAAAAAGAAAAACTAGGTATAAAAATATATTTTTTGTATTTTTTCTCTCTCTACCCCACTCGATCGAACTAGCTAACTCTTTCTTCTTTTTTTTTTTTTTTTTTGATTTCTCTATTAGTGATTCTCTTCTTACAATTGATACCCAACCCATTCTAGCCTTAATTTTTTTTTCCATATCTTCTACACCCAAAAACTCTCGATTCTTCTTCTTATTGGTTCAAATCCTAAAACTACTAATTAAAAAAACATAAATTGAGAGTAAGATTCTAACTTTTTTGAATTTTTTTTCAATATTTTTTCATTGTTTCCTTTCCAATTTATTGTTAATCAATAACAAGGAGAGGAACAACAAGAAATCAATAATGGCTAGGGGAGACAAATACAACTTATTATTTTTAACTCCTTTTGACTTTTATGAAATTAATGGTTATTAGGGTTTTTAATTGAGGATTCTAGGGTTTGGATGAATGAGAAGAAGAATTGAGGGTTTCCAGATTTAGGAGAGATGAGAAGAAAAAGACTTAATAGCTAGAATAAGTTAGGAATTGATGGATGGTAAGAAGAAAATCTCATCAATAGAGAAAATCACAAAAACAAATAAAAAAAAGTGAAGGGATGGGTTTCGGTTTGATCAAGTGAGTTGGAGAGAGACAATGCAAAGAAGTATTTTTATACCTAGTTTTCTTTTTTACTTTTTATTTTTAGCAAAAATTTGCATTTTTTTCACATAGTAAATTAATCGATATGTCATGACAAGTGGTATTTTTTACCACATGTCACTTTTGATTAGGAAAATTGGCTAAAAAACCATCACAAGAACCATATTAAGAAAATCTTAAAAGTAAAAAAGGTTTGATTAAAAAAAAAAAAGGAGTAAAAGGTCATAATAATAAAATATGAAGAGTAGGGTTATATTTCTTGCAATTAATCCATAAAAATCTTGTATCTACAAACAATATAATTTTTGGTCATATAACAAACTACCATTTACCATTTGTAATATAGTTTCCCTTTTTGTTATTCTTCTATTAAAACTCTATATTTTTTCCAAACCTAATCCTTTTATTAGCCACTAACCAATCAAATATTTGACCAGCTTGATTAAGGCCCAATGAATAGTACCTTTCTTAATTGAATTTTAATGATTTAAAGGCTTGGCATTTTTCTTAATAAAAGCATCACAAACTAAAGAGGTTTTGTAAACAAACTCTACCATATCTATCTCTAAAGGTATAGGTTCTTGGTAATAAATACCAAAGACTTATTTCTTCTCATTTCCCTCTCCTAACAAGTTCTTATACCTAACTATTCCGACCCCTAATTCTTACACATCTTTGAACTCCATCTCGTCAAATTTTTTTTCTAAGTTCATTTTATAAAACTTGTTAAGTTATAAGTAACAAACTCCTTCTAATGGATTTTATTCTAACATTTGGCTCTAGCTTCAATGACTCTGTCTAAATTCTTTTTAACAAGTTTCCCAATATGTTGTTTGAACTTGACCAAGTCTTCCAACCCAATTTTAGGTTCTGTTTTCAAGTAAAAAGCTTGAAAAAAAAAAACCTCGTATGTCCGTATGTATGAATGGACTTAGAAGATAAATTGGTATATCATAAAAATACGCTTCAGTAAAATAAAAATTTGAAAACATCCCAAGTTTAAGAAAGTCATAATTTGCGGCTTCCCTACATTGAGATATAAACCTTATAATGTATTTTATCACGGTTATTGGGTCTTGTTCAACAAATAACATAAAATTTAAAAACTAAAAGTGGTTAGATAGAAATAATTCCTATCTATT